TTCCTGGCAGCAATTTTTTGTCGGACATCACCAAGCCAATCAAAACTCCCATTTGGTTAAGGCCCCAGGAAAAGTTGAACATATTTCCGGTAGTGATGAATTCCTTTGAAAACCAACAAGGGGAAAAAAACAAAAAATATTCATTTCAGCCACTGGAGACCACAGCCAGCCACTCGCGCCTCACGCAGCTGAACCGCAGGTCCGGGCCCTGCACCAGCACCTCCCACAGCCCCGGCGCCGGCGCCGCCCGCGGCTCCGCGCGCGTCGGACCTTCCGCGCGCCCGGCGCGGCCCGCGCTCGGCGCGGGCAGGTCGGGCAGGTCGGGGCTCCGCGGCGCTCGGGGCTGCGGGGAGAAGTGGGAAGGCTCCTGGCGCGCATCTGGCCTGATGACTTTACCATCCAAAAGCTTAAAAGGTCGATTCGCTTTGGGCAACTGAGTGTTGCTTCTTGCCTTTGGTGTCCCCCCCCTTTGGTTCTCCTGGTTTTCCCTTTCGTTTCCCCCCCTTTGGCTCCCCTTTAAAGCCAACCAAAACCAGGTGTCCTTAGTGTTTTACCATGACCAAAGTCACCCCCGTTCAGTGCTGGGTTAAAGGGAAACAACCCCATTCTCTGACTTGGATAACCCCCAGAAACCGTCAAAATAATGACCCCAGCAGATGGGAGGACCCTTTTTCGCGCTTCTTGAGGCAAAGTGGCAAAGCCCTTTTCGGGTTGGTGAGAAAAGGAAAACAAAAAGGAAACACACACGAAAAAAGATGGAAACAAGAGGGTACCCTTTAATTTGGGTTGGTGAGAAGGGAACTTCTGTTTTGGGGGTCTCCCGTTTGTGGCACATACCCAGTTCGATGACCAATTTGTATGGGTGCGATCACAAAAAGGGTCCTTGCGTATGCAAAAAAAAAGCCGGTGAAAACCCATGGGTTTGGCTATGTGAATCATGAGCCCATTTGGCAAGTCACCTCTTAGGCAACGGCCAAGATGGTTTCCCTCTTATTTTCGTTTGAAACCAGTCTTCATTTGATTTTTAGCCCAAACACACGCAGGTCGTCACTCAGTTCGTTCTTCATTTTTGGAAGCCTCGGAATCTTTGTCTGAAACGAGACGCGGTGTCCATGTTCACCTTGGTTGCTGTTGACCCCTCTGCAGAAAGTGAATAACTTGTTGTTGATCCAACTCGGAAAATCCTTGTCCTGTTTTAACCAAAGAGTGTTCAAGTCCAAAGATCCGTTACCAACTAGCCATAAAGCTATCAAATCTTGGTGTCCTTTTGGTTTCCCGGCCAACCAAACAAGGTTTCTTCAGGTTGACCCTTGGTTTCCTTTTGGCCTACCCCTGGTTTCCCCAGGCCCAATCTCTTTCTCCTTCTGGGTGACTTGCCCGGACCCAGAAATAACAAGTTGAGCTTTTGGAGCCATGAGCTTGAATGGAAAGGAAAAAACAAAATGGAAGGGAAAACCCAAAATAGATGGGACCAAAGGTGGACAACCAAAAGCTTGAAAAGTGTGGTTTTTTGCCTTTGGTGTCCCTCCCCCTTCTGGTTTTCCCTTTGGTTTCCCCCCTTTGGCTTCCCTTTAACGCCAACCAAAACCAGGTGTGCCCAGAAAGGCCGACGTTGGTGTCCCTTTGGTTTCCCTTTTCAAACCCACCGAACGCCACTCCCCCCGATGGCTCTGGGGTGTCCGGCCTCCAACCCGCAGGCCACGCACAGCTCCCGGCCGTCCCGGGAGCGCAGCAGCGGCGTGAGGTCCTCACGCGCGTACGAAATTTGGTCCAAGCCCAGGACCATGTAAAAAATACGAGGGCAACCAATTCTGGCTGAAACTGTCCCTTACTGACTTTCTACCCGGAATACCCGCACCCATGGGATTGTCCCTTACTAACCTACCACCCGGACCATGGTGGCCGTGGCTCAAAAGTAAACAGCTGTCTTCAAGCAGGTGGTAGTCTATCTTTCTACTTACCAGGGTTCCATTTTGGACCCCCAACATTACTTCCATTTTGCTTAAGGATGTTATGTTCCCCGGCTGGTTTTCAAGAGAATGTATCAAAATTGGACCCATAGCTAAAATGGTCCCTGACTAACCTTCTACCCAAACTTTGAGCAAGTGGCTCACGTGGCCGGGGCCCAGTTTGGACGGGTGGGTACCGCAGTGGGTCAAACAGGTTGACCCCGGATTGATACTGCACCCCCGAATAGAAACGGATCTGGATCCTCAAACCCATAAAAACTGGAAACAGCACCCCAGTTTATCTTGCTCTGGACCAGCGGGAGTGCAAAACCCGGGGCTTTACAGGGCGATGGCCAGGAAGCCCGGTTTACTTGCAATCTTTTCTCGCTTGCTTTCTGCTTTTTTGCTAACAGTGACTAACTTTTAGTGGTTTCATACGGAAAACTTATTCGTTGGCAAAAATTCAAGTCCTGACATCCAAGCAAAATGCACCAAAGTTTTCGAGAAATGCAGGGAAGGAGAAATGGAACCCCAAGAAAAACCGACCAACCAACCGAGTTGGCTTCCCTTAAGGGAATCCACAGGTTCGTTCCCACATTTGCAGGGGATTTCCAGGTTCATTCCCAACACCCGCGTTTGGGTCCATCCCTACGCACTAGCAAGTAATACTGTGGATGGACAACATCTATGTTGCACCGCCTAAGGAACCCGGGAATGAGCTGATTCCCCTGTAAAGACCAACAATTTGCGTGTTCGGCCGCTGGAACAATAAAAAGTATGTCCAATAGTGATACATTTCCTTCAGAATAACAAGGGAAACAAACAAAACACTTAAGCAAATGGAAGTAATGTTGACCCCGGATTAAGAAACCTCTCCTGTCAATACATAAACGTCATCCGGATTCCCACTAAAAAGGGACCCCCCCCTATTCCTATTTATCAATCAGGGCTTTATTCATCCAGTGTGTCCATTATTCAGGATCAGAAACTGTTTTGGGGGTTGCTTTGTGGGGTATTCAAGCGTTTTGGCGTGGGTGAGCGGAAATCATGCGCAAAACTGCCCCCTCTGTGGAGACAAACCTATATGTTGCCAGTTGGAGCTTTGTGCCCTTTGATTGGTTTGGTTACATCGCCCCATGAGTATGACATTGGGTGCTAAAGAGGACATCTAAGAATGAAACTACGAGCCATCCCCATTTCTTCCGTTTGCCTAAGAAACTTGGTTATTTTGCCCTGTTGGTTTGAGACATATTTTTATTCTTCCAGGCTTAAGCAAATGGAAGTGTTGGCTTTCGTTTGGGTAAATCTAAACATATAATTTTAGCCCCACGCCGCGATTTAAAGGGACACTAGCGAAACTACGTGTCTGACTTTGACAATTCCAAAACGGGCTGGGATTGTGCTCAAAATAGGGACCTGGTTCACAGCTTCAAAGGGGACCCCATTCCAAGTGATTTCCCTTTTGAAGGAAGCAACAGATGTGGCGTTCTAAGTTCTAGGGGTTGATTCCAACCACTCCTTTCAACCATCGTTCTTTTCAAACACCAGCCATTTTCCATGGGTTTCCCGAGGTTTTCTAGAAGGACCCCTGGAAAGAATGGAAATGGAAGGTAGATACGTCGCCTGGTCGCCCTTAGACCAGAATACCGCTACCTCCGGGCAGAAGTCATGAATCCCTTGAAGGAGCCGGACACTCGACAGATACGCCGTCACGCCCGACATGGGAATCGTAACCACTTCTGTGATACGGCAGCCTAAATGGGCGTCTTTGTTGAGGCTGCCCCCTTTTTGGGAGGCTTTCAGGGGAAACCAAAAGTAAACAACCACCATTTTGGGGTACAAAAGAGACACCCAAACATTGCAAGTTTTCGGAGCAAGGGAGCCCTCTCAGGTTTTTGGGGACAAGTGTTGGCTTTGCAAAGCTCTGGAGCGTCTGCTGGGAAGAAACGGCCCTGGCCCGCAGACCGTTCTTTTTCCAACAAAGAAGTGGACGAAAATCTTGCGAACGCCCCTCAGTCGGCTTGGAGTTCTGGAGGAGTCACATCCCTCACACAAGGCTCAGGTTCCTTGGCTAGGTCCTCCAGTGGCGAGGTTACAATAAGTTGGTACCCGATTTTTTTCTGTAGTCATCTTAGTAGGGGAACCCTCCCCCAAGATAGGGTGAGAGAGGGCCCTAGTTGATATCGCACTGGGGATTTTTCAAGCTGGTCCTTGTCGCAGGACTTGTTCAGCATGCACCAGCCCTGCAAGAGGTGGGTAGCGATGAGCCCCGGCACATCTGTTCTCTCCTCCCCGGCCATGAGAAATCGCAACTGCGCGGCTTGTGCGCGACTTTGCGACTTGCAGCCGGCTTGAATTCGTGGTTGCAGAGTTAACGTGCTCATGTGGCACCCCTCACGTGTCGTGTGGGTGTGTGTCATCCCGTCGTGGGTGCTTTGGAGTTTACTTCATCTTCATTGTACGGGTCTGTCTCAAAGTAGTAGGGGAAACCCTCTTTGATGGATGTAAAGCGAAACCAAAAGGAAAACCAAGAGGAATCGGTCCCCAATTCTCAGATACACCCATATTGATCCCATGAGCCGCTTTCCTGTTGGCCTCCACCTCCGGCGGTGACCAAATGACAACAACCTGCTTGGGAGCTTTGGACAACACAAAGAACCTCGGGTCCCCCAGACCACTGTGTTGACACCCAAAAAAACGAAGAAGAAAAAAAGACACAAAAAGAGACAAAGAAAAAACAACGCAATCCATCGACCAAAAAGTCCTTGCTTGCAACATCCTCTTTGGTCGTCGGTTCTCTTCGCAGCTACAGCGAGAGCTCTCGAGTTGTGAGCCTTGATCCAAATGGACGGCGCGCGGAGATCAGTCGCATGGCTTCCAGGGTCGGCGCCGGAGATTGGCAGCGAATGCAAGGAGTTCTTGCAAATGACCCCGGACTAAGAAACCCCTCCTGTTCCACCAAAGTGATCCGGATTCCCACTAAAATGGGACACCCCTATTCCTATTCATCTGGAAGGAGTTCTTGCGGCGGGCGTTCCAAAAAATCCGCGCCTTCCGCGCCCCGGGCGGCCATCGAGGACATCATGGCGGTGGCATCCTCCAAAGTCCTCCGAGGGCCGTTTGAGGCAGAGGCGCCCAAAGCGCCGTGGGTTTTTTGGAAGGCGTTGTGGGGACCCCTTCTTCCAGTAGTTAAGACCCCTGGAAAAAATAAATATATTTCCAGCAGTGATAAATTCCTTGTACAACCAACAAGGGAAAAATATATATCTATATATATATATATATAAAAAGGAGTTTTGTTGGGGTTGGTGAGCAAAGGGAAACCAAAAGGACAGGTTCCGGTTTTAGGGCCGCTTTCTCTACCAAGGAGATCACCCTGAAAGTAAACGCAAAGTCATAGGATGGGAATGACAGTTTGGTATGGAACCATCAAATTCATAGAGGAATTTGCTTTTGCCATGTTAATTTGCAGGGAGAATGCGGATCAACTCAGTATGGGTATGTGTATATGTATATATATATATATATACATGTGCGTGTGGTCATAATGTGTATATGTACATATATATATATATATATATATGGCTGTGGGCCAAAAATAGGTACCCAAAATGGAACCCTGGTAAATGGACACATGGACTAAAACCTGCGGTCCCCTGGTGGTTTAATTTTGACCCATACCCATATGTCGAGTGCAAGTACCTGCCCCTTGATCATATGGGGAATTCACTTTTGTCTGAGTGGACTGGCCAAACAAAGACTAAATAAACTGTTTGTTTGCCGCCTCAAATGTTCCCCCCAAATGCAAAACGTGCAACTCAGGGCCTTTGGGGAGGGTAAAAGCAAAAGCAGGATGTTCAATCCGTGTCAAGTATGTAGGGCCATGCATATAAGAGTTATACGCAACTGAGCGCCTAAGTGGGTTGAACACCAAAACAAAGCCCGATTGCCACAAGATGAGCGTACAGTTCACAGAACCCCCGGAATGAACACCAGGGTCTGTCTTTTTTGAGGCCACCTTTTTTTGGTGTGATTTTGAAGGGAAACCAAAAGGGAGGAAACCACCCTGTTCAGCGCCCCCCAAAAAATAGCGAGGAAACCACCTGTTCAGCGCCCCAAAAAAATTAGCGTCCTTTGTACGATACCGAAATGGATCATCCCCATCTAACCATGGGCCTCTTGTGATTGACAAAGTGTCGATCCCCTTCAGGTGATCACAGCAAGTGGGACCACCAAATGCCTCATTTGAGCTGCGGGTCAAAATGCGTACCCCAAATGGCTTGCCCTGATAAATTCAACCAGAGACTAAAACCTGCGTTTTGTTTTGGTGGGTTTGTTTTGACCCATACCCATTGGTGAAAAAGTCTGGGGAGTTGGTTTTCTCGTTTTGCTCGCAACGGCATGCGTCAAAATGGCTTCTTCTGGGTTTTCCGCTTAAACCTAGGTGAACAAGGTGAAAACAAACAACCAAACAAACAAAAACAAAAAACAAGTGGGCTTGTCTCAAAGTAGGATTTGCAGAATGCGTGGTTTTCCTCCATGTTCCCCTTCATCAACACCAACAAGGGTACCCTCAAAAAACATCCACACCACGGCGTCAGTCCTAGTAAGGTGCTGCATGGCGTGGGCGGGATTGGAACGATTGATGGCCTGGCTGAAGCACGTGTAGATCACCTGAGACGAGAAGTCGCAACTTGTTCTGGGCTGCCCTCAGATCCCCCGCAAAAAGTGTAACTTTGAGTGGGTTAAAGCTACCACGAAACACTATCGCGACTTGGCGGTCGAGTCTGTGCACGGCTAAGCAGCGGTGCAGCAGCCCGATTTCAAGGCGCCTCACCTGAAGGGCCTGGCGAGGTCCGCGGCAGTGCGAACCGGCCGGCGATTGGTCCAATCGCAAAGTGCGGATCTTGTGGACTGTACAAAGTCCGCTGAAGCTCCTACCCAAATGCCCTGTTGGGGAGGGTGGACTCCACAACTCAACATGTTGATGTGCTCAACATAAATCCCTGGCACACGAAAGTAGTTGAAAGCAATCGTGTACAGGCGCTTCACCAGCTTGACCTGGCTGGCAACTGTCGTGAGACCGAACGAGCAGGGCTTGGCCGAAAGAGGAACCCAGCTGTCCTTGCCATTGCCAGGGACTGGAAAAGAAATACCGCTTCTGTGCAAAGCTATTGTGAGCTCAAGCCAACTGATGGCACGTGCAGCGTCTGTGTCTGCATCATGGCTCAATAGCCATTCCAGCGCGGATTTAAAGAAACATGCAGGAATCCCGCCGAGGGGAACCCGCCCGATGTGCAGCTCCCAATCGGCGGGGATATAGTCGGCGATGATGTCATCTCTTGCTCTTTGCTGTACATCCCCACCGGGGATGATTTCAAGTTCATCCTCGTCCGGATGAGGTGCTTGGAAGTTGGTCTGGGCGATGCTGAAGTACAAGGCCCGCAGTTCACGGCTTAACCTGGCGTACTTGCTCACATGAAGTTTTGCGGCGGCAAGAACCTCTGTAAACTGCAAAGATCGGTTCAGGTTAGCGACGCCTGCGGCTGTGTCTGCTTTTGCATTCCAGGTTGCAGCCCATTCCTCAAAAGGGTCCTCACACTCATGTAAAAGCACGTGCGAATGGACATGTCGGACGTTCACCAACAGCTGCTCGCATGCTGAAACAAGATTGCTCGCTCTTGTCCAAAGATCGTGGTTGTCTTGCCCATGCAGGTCAAGATTACCGGCCAAAATGTCCTGGTAACCCTGACATACATAGTTGCTATCTGTCCAGATAATGGTTGGCTGCCGAAAAAATCTCACCCACTGACACGCGGAGCAGAAAGCCGACAGTTCGGCTCGGTTGATAGTCTGGGGGAAACCAACAAGGGGTCCCGAAGAAACACAATCCGACGACGTCGCCGATACGACGGCCCAGGCTGCTACTGTAAAACCTTCGCAATATGTAATGCAAGATCCGTCAGTAAAAAGGTGTTGAAGCTGTCCCTCAACTGGGCGAAGTCCTTCAAAGCGGCCTGCATGATCGGGCATCTTGTTAAGCAATTCTCGGTAAGCATGGTACCAGGGATTCCTTGGGACAAGCAGGTGATTGGTGAAGCAGGCTGGGAGAGAGTCCCAAAGGCGAGTGACCTCTGAGGCGTGTGACCGGGCAAGCTGATGAGCCGGGCATTGTCAACACTGATGCTCGTAAGTGTCGGGCACGTGACAAATGACACAGTCAGGAGTTTTGGCTGTGTCGTAATGAGCGTGTTGGATTTGGCTTCGAAAAGAGCCATCCTGGATGGCCGAGAGCATTGCTTTCTCGTGAGGAGTCAGCCTTGGGTAGTCAAGCCGGCAGAGTGGCAAGTCGATACCCTGCAGCCCATGCATGGAAGGGCGCCGAAGTTGTTTTGCTAGTGCCTGGGCCCAGCCGTCCTCGAGTAGTGCAGCGATTGTGGAGTCCGGGGCGGCCAGCAAGTCGCATGGGACCCCGTCATGGTCGAGCACAAGCGGAGGGTCAACGACTGTCCAAGAAATGGTGTCGAACACTTCGAGGAGTTTGCTGAAGGGACCGGGTAGCAATTGACCGGAAAAGCGCCTGATGAAGGCTCGCCAGAGATTGACAACCTGTGGCTGCTTGCCGCAGATGCGGCGGAGGTCCCGCACCGCGCTGACGAGCTGGTAGTAGCCAGGGTCTGCCTCCGCTTTTCCAGTGAGGAAAAGTCGAAGCTGTGGGTTCGCGCCAGCTTTGTTTGCGCGCAATGCGCGAGTGGCTTCCGACCGCAGCTTGCCGATGTGGATGTTGCTCAACAAGCATATGGAGATGCCATGCAATGCCTTCGGCCAAAAGACCTGGTAGAGCGAAGCTAGCTTGGAGTGGTAAGGGGCTGTGGCCCGACGTAGTGCCCTCCAGGAGGCTGCAAGCGAACGACATCGCTCGACTTGTCCCGAGTTCCTCAGCGCTTGTCCGTATGAAAGGCATCCGCCAAGGTCCTTCGCTCCATGAAGGACTGGAAGTCCAATCGGCTGAAGGGCCGTACGTAGAGCGGGGAGTGTCCCCCAGGCCAGGCTTTTAGAGAGATCAAGATCAAGCCCCCAGGAGTCGCAGAAAGCAAGGAGCAAAATCCATCCTCGGGCAATGAGTGAAGCCTCACCCGCATGGAATTCAAGGTTGTCAACGAATGACATAGTGTCGATTGACGGCTCAAATACCTTGAAGTATCGGTGGTATGCCAAGTCGACCAGGCACATTGCGAAGACGCTCATTGGGCAGCCTTCTGCGAAACCGCAGGTGGATGAAACTCCTTGTGATAGACTCCCCCTGACTTCGAAGCGGCGCTGGAAGTTGCCGAGAAAGGAGGCCCAAGCCGAGAGGAGTCCTTGTGGAACTCCGACGTGACCGGCGATGGCAAGAGTTGGTAGTCGAGGTAAACTGTTGAAAGCCTTAACAAGGTCGGTTGTGATGCCAGCTAGGCCTGACCCGCATTGTGTTGCGATCTCAATGCGGGACTGGAGGGTGTACCAGTATTCCGCGGCCTCCCTGCCCGGGAGAAACCCGTATGCGTCGCAGTTAAAAAGTGGCTCTAGCTGCCGCAGAAGGTCGTTGCACCGGATTGCAGCCCATGTGCGGTAAATGAGGCTGAAAATGACAATGGGCCTAAAGTCGTTGACTTGTTCGGCAACCGAGGTTTTGGCTAGGCATTTGACGATGCCTGTGAGCAGTTGTCTCGGCCATTGGCAGGTGCCTCTTTCGATGCCGTGAAAGAGCTGGAGTAACTGTCGGATGAAGTCGGTGGGCATATTTGCAAGGTCAAGCTTTGCATAGCCGTCAGTGCCTCTGGCTGCGATGACCTTGTATTTCCGGAGAGTGGATCGCCAGCGATCGACAGTTATGTCAGGCAAAGAGAAGGTGCGTGTTGGCAAAAAGGCTTGGGCGAAAGCGAAAATACGCTCCCACCGGTCAGGGGAGGTGTTTGCATGTTTTTGCCAACGAGGTCGCCAAAAAGAAACGAATTCCTGATGCACCTCTTCGGTGGAGGTGACAAAACTTTTCTGAATGAGTTGTTGGCCAGGGTGAAGCAAGTAGTCCGACGTGAGGTTGCATGTAGCATCACTGTGGCAAGTGACCTCTGCTGTCTCACCTTGATGCCACCATTGCGAATTGCTTTGCCTCTTTGGGGTAGAGTCGAGAAGAACCTTCTGTCCATCTTCGGCAACTGCAAGGATGGTGTAGTCCTGTTGAAGAGTGAGAGTATCAACAGGTTGTGGTCGCTCATCTTTGAGTTGCCCGAAGAGAGTAGCGCTGTGTTGCTCAGCTCGGTTCCAAAGGGCTTTGGCACGTTGTCGGATGTGCCAACTCTCGAAGCGCCGAAAATTGGCACGGAAGTCCTCAAAGATCGAGGTTGCCAATGCGAGTGTTGGTGTGCCGATGGGGAGTTCACTGGGACTGTATGGTAGGCGTGAATGACGGTTTCGCCACCATGCTGTGAACCCACCTTCGAAACCTGGCGCACGAATTGTTGAGGCCCAAAGTTCGACCCGGTAGGCCAGGGCCGCAGCGGTAAGCTTGTTGCTCCGCAGAGCGTGGACGAGTGACTGAAGTCGTCGTAGTTGTTTGAACCATTGCCGTACTGCTGCACAGACAAGATCGCTACCAAGCCGCTCCTCCCCATGGCGGCTTGGTCTTGCCAATGGAGCAGAGATGGGGCGCATGGTGGGCGCTGTGCGTTGCCCACGCCCCTTGCATCGAGACGGGAGCTTATGCCCGTGTTGCCGTGGCCATTCTGCCGAGATGGCAGTTTCGTACTTAGACGAAAATGATGCAAACCAATCAGTGGTGTCTCCTTGTGGTGATGGGAGAGCACAAGTGGTGGTTGTGAATGAGGATGGATCGCTGAGCAGTTCCCAAGGAATGAGTGCAGGTAAAGCCCAAGCCCGCAAGAGCTGAACCTGATCAGGGAATGCCAGTCGAGCAATGACAGTGGCGTGTTCTTGGAAGGTGTGAACCACGCTGACCTCAGCAAGCATTGAAGCAGCCTCGGGCGACATGTAGACCAGGTCACGTTTTGTGGCGCCCTTACAAGTCATCTGCGGCTCAAAGCCCCAGAGTTGAAGGGCAAGTGTCTGGGCCTCGACCCAGCCGTGTTGGTGCCACAGTTGCACCTGGGCCAGGGAGTCAGGGTCGTGGTTGAAGTCTCCGCAGATGAGGCGGATACCTGTTCGTCCTATCACAACTTCTTGTGTGAGAACACCAAGAAGCTCGTTTGTCATCGCTGCTGCCTGTGGGTAAGTCGGTCCGCTAGGGAAGCCGTAGACAGCGGTGGTGAGCACCGGAAAGTGCGCGATGACATGCTGTGCAACAGCAACACGCCCTGAGTCGAATTCAAGGCCGCGCCATGGAAGTGCGACCGGTCGCGATGGAAAATCTGACGTGATCAGGGTTCCTGACCATGTGCCGGCCCAGTCGGAGGATCGTCGCGTGGCGACTGGTGCTCCAGGGATGACTCTGATGAGCCGATCCTGCTGGGAGCCAAGACGCCGAATGGCACGACATGTGCTCGGCTGAGTAACCTGTGAGAGCTGTGTCTCAGCGACATGGAAGACTCCCGCTCCAAGTTCAACAAGGTGGGCTTCCTTGTTTCGAAGCCCGGAAGGGTTGGTTGTGCCAAATTGGGCCAGGTTGTGGGGACCAG